GACTTCCGGGTGGCGCCTCCGGAAAATGGCGGAATTCCCTTCGGACTGAAGGGAACCCGCTGCACGGAGGCTTGGGTCCTGCCGCTACGGCGCAGCGGGGACCCGCTAAAACCACAGGCGGAAGAAGCCTGTGGACGTGGGACTCGGCGGGCACCGAGAGCGCTCTCTCCCCTTGTACAGGAGCCCGGTAACGGGCTCCGGAGTGGGAGGTGCGTGGTGCTGTGAGTCGACTGCTTCCTCCGTGCAGCAAAGCCGCACTGCCGTTATCGGAGAGCGCTGCCCTTTTCCTGGACAATTTGGCATCTAAAATATCTATCCGTGAGTACCTGATCTTGGAAGAGTTGAACCACTTTTAAGACTGGTGAATAAACAAATAATATTGGACTTGAAATTGAACTTAATTGGGACTCGGAATGGGAAGGTCTAAACAGGAAGTCGCCTTCCGTTCTTTTGTTATGTGAAGAAAGCAAAGACAAAATATACTAAAGCTTGAAAATTAAATTCTAAGAGAACTAGAATTCAACATCTAAGATTTCTGAACCCCCTTTGACTGCAGGAGAAGAAGGGGGTTGTATTTGGACTTTTCAATCCTGCGGAAGTGAGTTTAAAATAAAGCAATTTTCCACCGCCCTGAACCAGGAGCGGGCTGTCAGAATTGACGTTCTGAAGTTTATCCAGCTCGACAGTTAGTTAAAAGAAGGGTAACATTTTGATTCTACTGTTGCCTCTTGAATTTGGAAGGGGGAATTTTGGATAAAGTGTTTCTGGAAAAAGAAAGATTGTTGCTGTTGCTTTTATTCCTTTAAAAAAAAAAAAAATTCCATCTAGTGGAATTTAGTGAAATTGCAACGCAGAGAGATTAAAAGAGAAGGACTATTGGACTATTGTCGTGGGAAAGAATTTTCTTTGACCTTGAAGGACAATGCTAGTACAAAGGCTTGAACAATTGTTCCTGGAAGGTTTTTCAAAACTAAGTGCCCAGCTGGACCAGATGCGTCAGGAGACGACCTTGATGATGGAAGTTACCAGAGCACAGCAGCAAACAAATGAAATTCAGTTAAAGGCTATACAAGCATATGAACCTGCTGTAGTGACGGAGGCTTCAGAGATGGAGGGACCTTTGGACGGGCAAGATCAGCCTTTGAACTTGATAAATGAACTTGGGACAAACCAGATTCGGAAAGATGAAATGTGGTCAGATTTGGAAATGGGGGATGGATCGACCCCCTCCATATGGTTATTTGGACCTTCCGAGTCTGGTGATGGGCTATCAGAGGATTGGAGTAGCCGAAGTCTCCAAGCTTTGTGGAAATTTGAAGTGGTATTATTTGCTGTCTGGCTTGGGCAATGGGTTTGGGATGGACTTGCTGCAAAGGGTCAAAAGCATTTTCTTGCTGGAGCATCCACGACTGGAAAGGAATCATCAACAAGAGTGGCGAAAGGGGCAAGAAAGAGACTTGAGGGCCTCGGATACGAGACAACCAGGTTAAGGAGCCGGATTATCGAGGTTAAAAGGACTGACAATCCCGGGTCCAGGGGAGGGGAGGTTGGAAGCTGACTGGACTGAATTTGACTTATTATTTTTTCTTTTTTATTTTTAATATTGGGAATGCTTACAAATGTTTGAAGGATGTTGAATGAAATTACATGGCTTAAGTAAGGATTGGTAAATGATTCGTAAAAAGGTAATGATGCAAGAATTTGGTAAATATTGAATATAAGCTATGAGTCTTAAAGTTTTTATATGACAAGAGGGAAAATAGAATAAGGAAACGTAATGACAGATTGTTATGAAAAACAGAAAGGATTTGCTGTAAAAATTAAAAATTAAGAAACAAAAGAGGGGAGGAGGAGGAAGTCTAGAAAGGAAGTCAATAGAGATTGTAAAGGACTTTATATTTTTGTTTTTCTGTTTCTCTTTTTTTTCTTTGCGGCTGGGTTTTCTTTTCTTTTTTGTTTATGTACTATTTTTGTTTTTTGTATCCTCAAATTTTTTTTGGAAATTTTTGTTGTTATTCTTTGAAAACTTAATAAATATCAATTATAAAAAAAAAAAAAATTTGGTGCCCATCCCGGAAAAAAAAATAAAAAAAAAAATGAAAAAAGAAGAGCTGTTTGAAGAATCGCTGTGTCGTCTGATATGTTCACCCACAACTTAACAGTACTGTTCTGTATATCTGTGCAAAGTTCCTTTTTTCTGGAACAGTAGTCATAGACCATATTCAAGAGATGGGTTGCTTGGGCAGAGATCTTCCCCAGTCGGAATTGTGTTGAGATGTTTTTATTGTTTGTGTGTTTGCTGCCCTGGCCCCCTTTGGGAGGAAGGGGTGGGCCGTAAATTTAATAAACAATCATAAATACGTGTTCGAAGAAAGACACTTAACGGAGCTAGAATTTCTCTGTACACATCTGCCTAGGGGATTTTTACTTCAACTCCCTAGATCACGGCTACTTTCACAGGCACAGGAATATACTGAGAACAGCCAACATTCCCAGCACCACATTCTCTCTCTCTCTCTCTCTCTCTCACACACACACACACACACACACACTCCCTGGAATGATGCTCAGCCCAGGATACTGCAAATGGACGCCAGAAATTAAGCCTGGTTGTCTACAGACCTGCTGCTGCTGCCAGTGGCAAAAGGGCTGAGGGAAAAGAAGTCTTGCTGTCACAACTGCTAACAGTGAGTCTAGCCCCTGATTGAGCGGTTGGGGGAATTTATCTCCCCGCCCTGAAAAAAGTATGTGAAATTCCCACTGACCAACAGGGCTGAGAGTTTTGAGAAGCCGTTTGTGCCAGCGCTCACGTAACAAACAATAGTGTGTGTGTGTGTAATGGTGAGTCCACCGGTTTCTCAGGAAAGGCAGAGAACTGTTTGTGAATTTGAATACATTTCTTAGAAAGTTCAGTGGAACAGAGTAGAGGTTCTGTGGTCGGGCTTGGTGAGCTGTTGTTACAGGTGGAGGCCTTATGATGAGTCAGACCCATTGGCCCATCTAGCTTGATACTGTGTACACTGACTGGCAGCTGCACTCCATATTCACTGTGATTATGCAGAAAATTCACACAAATATCCACAAGGTGACACTGTGGAGCACCACTTGCCTCATTACAAATTTTTAATCTATTTATTTTCTGTTGAATTCAAGCTGCTGAGAGCATTTTCCAATTCTCCATCAATCCTAGAAATTTGCCTTTAGAATTTTTTTTTAATTTATTTTAAACAAAGAAGAACATCCCTGGGTCCTGAATGTGACACGTATAAAATACTCCATCTGCACTATGCACTGAAAGCAGCATCCTACCACTTTAAGCAGCCATGGCTCCCCCCCCAAAGGATTCTGGGAACTGTAGTTTGTTAAGTGCACTGAGAGTGGTTACGAGACCCCCGTCACAGAGCTGCCATTCTCGGAGTTGGGTTCACAGTCAATCCCTCATCCTAGGTAACTATGAAAACTTTAGCCCTGTGAGGGGAATACAGTGTATCCTAAAAACTCTCAGCACC